AGTATCACTAGACTTCTCAAATTATGACTATAAGCCCAGACTTGGCAAGCGTCAGATTATTGTGTACTCACAAGTCTTTTAACAAATAAAATAAAGTTGTCGTTACATTGGGTAATAATTGTAATGGAAATTTTTTGTAATAACTTCTTATGCATAATGAATGAACTTGTAAGAGCATCCGGAGACAATTGTCTACAAGTAAGGAAATAGCTCCCAACATGGTTCCGTGAAAGATAACAGTTATAAGACCTACTAAACATCCTTAAAATAATACTTCTATAATAATGATCTAGCTCAGTATCTGAATACAGGTAGGTATATGTACCAGACTGAGCCCTGTTTGCTGCACAGCCTGGATCAGTCAGTCAGTCAGCTACAACGTAGGATCAGGCACATATGTGCATCGGTCCAGGTTGCCATACCGCATCAGCACAACAAGATGAACACCGGATTCATAGCAGTGGTTACCGGATTCATAGCAGATTCATAGCACAGACTGGATATTATGCAGCTGCCCAACCTAAACTGAGCATTCCAACAAATAAGGAGTTACCCTAAATATTTAATTGATGTCACTCATTGTTATCATCTTTGATGGAAGTTCGCCACAACCCCTTACTCTACTCACCGAGGTGGAATGAAGTGTTTGTATTTTCTCCAACGTTCATCACTCATCAGACTTCTTGACTGGCGAGTCACGAAAAACATTTTCATTTTAGGGAGAAAGATTAGTATATGATTCTATTCCAGTTCCTTTTTCTAGTACTATTGATGCCATCTCGACAAATCCAAGCCCGTATCGCCTACTAACTAAATCCTTGAGGACCTGCAGTGTGAATCTTACTCATCATATTTCTTGTATAAGTACGTTTGAATCCTATGTATGTTCCGGAGTGTAATACTAGGATTTTCACTTTATGGGATTTGGATGCTGAAAACTCGAACATCCAGTCGTCTAGTGTTTTCACTACGCCAAGAATGATATTTTGTCAACTAAAATCGTAATTTATGGTTATAGAGCAGGAAGGACTAGTGGGAACTATGGTCATCTTTTCAACAGAAAACAGAATAAAGTAATAGCTTAGGTTTAGTATAATTTTCAAGAGTAAGTTACTCCGTGTGAATATAATCAGATTTCCTCTACTTTTGATGCTATACGGGTGGTATATATATAGTTATTCATCAAGCGAAATCCCTGAAAAAGTTTCTTTCGTGAATGTAACACCATGACCGCTGAAGAGTTGTTTTACCTTTTCAGCAGTTACCATTCATCCACCCCGTTAAGCTCCACTGTTATTTTTAAGAACTAAGTTAGTCAGCTGCAACGTAGGACCAGGCACATATGTGCATCGATCCAAGTTGACATACCTCATTAGTACAACAAGATGAACACCAAATTCATAGAACTAGTTACTTCAATAGCAGTAATATATAAAAGAAAGATTGTGTATAAGCATATAGTACAGGAAGAAAGAATTAGTTTGTAGAAATAAAGGTATAAAGCAATTTTAATCTCACGGCTAAAGTGCAGACATAGAGTGAATACGAAAACGCCATTGTGATCGATTATGTGCCATGTCACCCACAGTCTCCAACCATTGGTTACGATAGTCACATGGACCTCAACCAAATAGTCTGCATCTACCGACATGGACCAGAACAGAAGTTAGTGACTTCAACGACTGATGTCACGTTTTGGTTTGGCCGCCATAATGTTCTTCCAACCATCTCCAACACTGGTCAGCATTGCGCGTCGTGGTAATCGGTGTTCAGGCGTACGTAACACGTGGCCCAACTATTTCAGTCGATGAAGATTTACAACTTCATCAACTGATTTACCATCATTCCATAATACCTTGTGTCTAACCTCAATATTACTTACCCGGTGATCCCAGTAGATGCGAGCAATATTTCTAAGGCATCTGTGGTCAAATACTTGTAGCTTACGAGTACCTTCTACTGTTAATGGTCACGTTTCGCAGCCGTAAAGTAGGACAGTACGAACTGCCGCACAGCGTGCTGGTCCGTTAATTGATAGACGGATATAGGTGATGTTGATAAGTCTTGCTAATTTGAACGCTTTATTCGGTTCCTAAGCTATGCTGGTAACCCGCAAGGTGGAACTACGCAGAGACCTGAACACGAGAGAAAAGGCGCAAATTAAGCGAAAGCACTTTACTCCAAAGGTTCATTTTTGTCCAGAAAAATACGGGTATTTATAGATTATTAGCATTTGTCAAATCAACATTATATTTTTGCCAATCTGCTAAGAGACCTATTATGCTAATGAGGGTGTGTCTTGGGCCTCTGGAGGCTACGTTGCAGTTCTCGGAGTCCGACTCAACAGATGTAGGATAGCAAAAGTCAAACGAGCTTAGGTTGCGTCAGACATCAACCCATTAGGGTTGACCAGACTTTGGAGATAATTGAAGTTGTCGACTCGTTCGACTACTTCACTCCCTATCTTTACTTCGTGTTGACGCAGGCCATTCTTGAATCAACAATCTGCATTTAGAGGGAGAGAAATGAATCCCAAACATTCTGGCATTGTTGCTCAGTGCTATCAAAAAATTTTGCATTTTATCAGCGTTTTCACCCAACAGGAGTATGTCATCTGCGTATTCTAAGTCGAAAATTGGGCCTCATGATAGGAGATCAACGCCCGAGATTTCAACGGATGAGAACTCTATGTTTAGTAGTAGATTTATGTTGAAATTGAACGAAAATGGAGATAGTGGACAGACTTGCCAGACACCACATAAGGTAACAATTAAACTCGTGTTATTATTGACGAAGCAGTTGACTACTGGTCTGTTCGAACCATCGTAATTAGCTTCGACTTAAATCCCTAGGTTAAACTTTGAAACGATTCTGTAACAGCGACGTGGCCCCCAAATTCCCTGGTATGGCCGAGAGTGGGGTGGGCCCGCCCTCCCTCTCGAAATGCTCTCACACGGCCACGCGTATACAGCCTCTGCCAGGGAAGTCCTACTCGCTGCATTCTCGTGGCGGGAGTGTTGTTTACGAAATTGATAGGTCGAAAAGCGAATGTCCGGCGCTTCAACCGGATTCCAAACCAGTGGTGCACATGGGCTCCAGTATCCTGCGGGAACAAATGGCGTATGAACCAATCGTTGATCCTCAGCTACCATGGGACGGCATCTCACGGTGCTCCACTGCCTTGTGGGTCAGACCTTAAGGTCAAGGGCTCGAGGTGTGGCCCCCTACGAAGACTACCTGCTTCGGTCTGGGCACCCGGGCAGTATCACATACCTTACACAAATCAAATGATTTATGTGGCGCATATCTATTTGGTGCCTCCTTGTACCAATGTTTATGTGTTTAAATAAATAAACTAATTTCGTACACTTTGATCTCAATAGATATATCATTCTAAAGTGAGCTTATTAAAGGTTTATCGATTTTTACCAAGTTTAATGGCATAGATAAGTATACTGTCTGCTCTCGCCAACACCATACCAGGTTAATCGTTTTGTGCTTTTTTCGAGGCTCCCTCACATATAATACATTCCTTGGTTTAACATTTGTAACCGGTGCATACTATCGTTGAATTGATTGACTGATAAGTTTTGTGGTATCTCTCCTTGCAAATTAACAATATATTGCCAATCATTTAATTTTAAGCAACTGAGTAATAACAGTCAGGTTTTGTTTTAATTAATAAATAATTATTTCTGTTGCAACTTAAATATTCATTTATGGATAGATGAATCGTTTAGTGTCAATCTTTAGTGAAATGAACGCGTTTGTAGAATCGAAGACGTCCAATAGGCCAACATCATTAAACTATTGGAATAAACACTTCTAAATGGGGCATTAGTCGCCGGCCGTTTTTGTTTCTTATTATTCAACCATAAACTGTAGAATACTCATCTGTAGGCAGTCATATACAACGTAGAATTTAAAACATGTACATCGGTCCAATTTTCCATACCACATAAGCTCAACGAGATGAAATCTTTAAGAAAAATCCCAGAGTAGTAGAATTAGTAACAGTATCTGCAATAATCGAGACGATTAAGTATAAGAAGAAGGAAAGTGTGCAAGATTTCGCGATTCAGAATCTAGTGGAAAACAAAGAGTGGATACATGTCCGTCATTACGATCGATTGTGATCCATGTCAACCTACGTTTCTAACTACTGGCGACGATAATCGTGCGGACTCCAAGTAGCTACACGGCTCAGTTCGACTGTCACTAATTTCATGAACTGATGTCATGGTTTGGTTACCTCGAGCTTTCTTTCAATCTACTCCTACACCAATAAACATCCCCCATCGAGATAGTGAGTAGTTGAGCATACGCAATACATCCTAACCACCTCAGTGGATAAAGATTTCATATTTCATATTTTAATCGACAATGGTCAAAATTGAGTATGCTAATCAATCGAAGTATGTCAAGATAGCAAAACGTATAAGCACTAAAGCCAATTATTATCGAAACGCTTGGCAGCTTATCATCATCAAGTTTGTCGCAATAATGGAATTAGTGTTTTGGGAAATAAAATGTTTTAAGGTCATGAAAGTGTCGAGTTTTGTTAAGTGTTTTGCAAAATCCATAGATTCGGTTTTAATAAAACCAGTATTCTTTGATTGTAAGTAACAAACTCCGAAAAAAATACTTTCAGAACTTTTACCGCACACAGTATGTGTTACACTTATTCTTTCGTAACTGACCGAAATAATGTGCAACTTGATACAGCAATATATAAGCTCGAGCTACCGCATACTCCATTGTTACAATAAAAAATATCGACAAGATAGTAGGAAGTAAAGAAAGCTGAAGAAGACTGTGATATAAAAATTAGGACCTGGAAATCCAGTGTGGTGTAGACTAGTGTGAACTCTAATTTCCACCTGGAGAGTCCTCTAACAATTATTTATTATTTTTCGGATGCTTTTTACTCATGTTATCATAGTCTATTCTTACAAATACTGTTATTTCTTTTATTTACGTTCATATTTCGATGACTGATTATTCGTTGCTCTCTCTTTTCTTTTTCTTACAGGTCTAATCGTAAAATAATCTTATCTCAGGGATTTGTGGTGTGATTTTTATTTTTATTTTTACACTTCATGTTCATGACTTAAATACTGCATGAAATGCTTATTGATCCACATTTTTCTTTGCTTTCTACAATCAATTAACATGCTCAATGGGATTTCCTGACCATACTTTATATTTTTAGTCAAATTATTTTCGTCAAGTTATCAATTGTTATAGTGCAAAAAATGTTTACTACATCTTCAACTAATTCTGATACAACAACACCACCCTCTTCGGTGAAATTATTATCTATTGACGAACATGCTCAAACAATACAATTTAATACTAGTCAAGATACTAATAATCTTACAAATGATTCTTTGTGTATCGATTCATCTGAACGTGGAACTCAGGAACTTTTAAATAGCATACATCATAACAGTCCAATTAGCAATAACAATAATAGCAATTGCATACTAAATTTAAACAGTAAGGCTACCTCATTTCCTTCAAGTATAACAGACCTTTCATTATTATCATCATCATCGTCCCTTTTTCATTGTGAAAATTGTCCTATATGTGGAGACAAGGTATCTGGTTATCACTATGGCCTTCCTACATGTGAATCTTGTAAAGGTAAATAGTATAATTCCTAATAAATTTTTGATTTTTCCTCTTTTTTCATAAAATTAAGGATTTTTCAAGCGTACTGTGCAAAACAAGAAAGAATATCATTGTAACGAACAAGGAAATTGTGTTGTTGATAGATTACATAGGAAAAGATGTGCTTATTGCCGATTTCAGAAGTGCTTAATTGTTGGTATGCGGGTAGAAGGTGAGTCTTCTTTGTGTTTTTTTTTTCTGATTGATTGTTCATTTAATCGATTTGCTTTCATCGTTTGCTTTTCAGTTACGCAACACACATTAATTTATGCATGTAGTGGTGTCTGATCAATGTAGGATTGTAGTTGAAGCTTTAAAAAGAATTAAAGCCGCCTAAAGTTGATTAAATATAACATCAATCTATCGACTTATCGACATCTTTGAATTATTATGCGCACCTGTAGACTTGATAGTTTGATCCACAGGATATCAAGAACTAGTATTTAATAAGCGGCACTGATACGGGTTGTAATTGTTTCAGTTCACTAATCATTCACAGGTATACGTACTCATGTTCTTACTATCTGTTGATACTGCTCAATCGCTAAAGTCGAATTAGGGTGAATAATTGAGGAGCGATAAGTACATTAGACTAGGTTTTACTTTTTTTAATCATGACAGCAGTGTTGGTTAAAACGAGGGATACCCCTAATATAATCAAAGGAAGATTCATTTGTTAATTTCTGCGCAGCAGTTCGTACTGTTCTACTTTACGGCTGCGAAACGTGACCATTAACAGTAGAAGGTACTCGTAAGCTACAAGTATTTGACCACAGATGCCTTAGAAATATTGCTCGCATCTACTGGGATCACCGGGTAAGTAATAGTGAGGTTAGACACAAGGTATTATGGAATGATGGTAAATCAGTTGATGAAGTTGTAAATCTTCATCGACTGAAATAGTTGGGCCACGTGTTACGTACGCCTGAACACCGATTACCACGACGCGCAATGCTGACCAGTGTTGGAGATGGTTGGAAGAACATTATGGCGGCCAAACCAAAACGTGACATCAGTCGTTGAAGTCACTAACTTCTGTTCTGGTCCATGTCGGTAGATGCAGACTATTTGGTTGAGGTCCATGTGACTATCGTAACCAATGGTTGGAGACTGTGGGTGACATGGCACATAATCGATCACAATGGCGTTTTCGTATTCACTCTTTGTCTGCACTTTAACCGTGAGATTAAAATTGCTTTATACCTTTATTTCTACAAACTAATTCTTTCTTCCTGTACTATATGCTTATACACAATCTTTCTTTTATATATTACTGCTATTGAAGTAACTAGTTCTATGAATTTGGTGTTCATCTTGTTGTACTAATGAGGTATGTCAACTTGGATCGATGCACATATGTGCCTGGTCCTACGTTGCATCTGACTGACTAACTGACTGACTTTGTTAGTTACGTTGATCTGCTACGCAATGTATGTATCGTCATTTTTTCGGTAGCGTAGGATGTTGTAGGCTATCTTGATTTCAATCTCGTTAGTTCTTATGGAATTAACTTATGTAACTATATTTCTAATGCCGTAATGAAATCTATATCTTAGTTGTGTTATTGGATTTTGTTTTACCGTTCCAGTCCTTTATGTATTAGTTTACTAAATTCCCTATACAATTCAGTAATAATATATTTATTGAGTTGCACTTTTGTTTGCTTACTCTGGGTTATTGCTTGAAAGTGAAACTTGATATTAGACTCAGTATGCTGAGATATATGAAGTTGGTTAGAGTCAAAATTCGATGTTCTAGTTTAGTCTGTTGTCAGTAATGCTACTTTCATTGTACACGTACATACAGGAGTTTTCTAATTGTCTGTTTTCATTAGTTTACTAATGTTTTGGTGTGAACCATGTATACTATCTTCCTTTTAACTTGGTATCCATAAAACTGTATTACACAAGTACTACAAGCTCATGAAGACCTTTTTTCATATTTGGTAAATAAAACTCAATTTATTTTTATCAACTTGGAACTATCTATCTATCTATCTAGTATATATATAATTTAAAGCTAAAAAATCCGTGATTATGCTCCCGTTTTATAGGGCGTAAACATCATTTATTTGTAAAATGAATAGATAACTGTGCAAGATACCGTTATTTATAACTTTCATGGTCTTTTTTAGTCTCATCTCTTGTATTTTTTCCCATTCTGATGATCTTAATTTTGTACTACTTATTCGACAATGGATTACGTACTCGAATCGGGTAAAGCTACATTTATGTGCATAACCTTGTTATTCAATTCCATGTGCTTGATGGCAGTGAAGGATTGCCGTCACAGATGTATAATATTTCAGGAATGTTTTATTTTATAGCCGTCTCATATACTAATATTTCAAATATTTTATTTAAGAAAGTTTTTCAACAGTGATTAGTTGACACTCATCACCCACAAATGTTTTTGATCAGTTTTTGTTCTATAACATGTCTTTTCACCGTTCAATATATCTGATACATGAATTCCAGCGCGATTGTTTCCTGAATTTTTCTAAAAAGCATAAGACGAAGAAAGTACACCGACCACTACGGTGGTCTCATCTGAATGTACTAGTATTTATCTTTGCGATAGGCTGCAGACATTTTATTAAAGCCCCTAAATACATTAGAGGGTTAACATAAATAGTCGGTTGATCAAAAGCAACCAAAAAACGATATAAATTTTTGTAATATTTACGGAGTTGGAAAATAGTTAGCCCAGAAATTTAAACGCCCCTTCCTATCCTTCTACCTTAATTGCTAGGATTTTTCATGGGTATACATAGATGTAATTCCCCAAATCCAAAGTGATTAAGAATGTTCGCTTATGAGCACAAACATCAAGCTTCTAACTAAATTTCTTTCAAACAATACCAGGTAGATGCTTACAGACTATTTGATTAGAGCCCGCGCGATTATCGTCGCCAGTAGTTAGAAACGTAGGTTGACATGGATCACAATCGATCGTAATGACGGACATGTATCCACTCTTTGTTTTCCACTAGATTCTGAATCGCGAAATCTTGCACACTTTCCTTCTTCTTATACTTAATCGTCTCGATTATTGCAGATACTGTTACTAATTCTACTACTCTGGGATTTTTCTTAAAGATTTCATCTCGTTGAGCTAATGTGGTATGGAAACTTGAACTGATGTATATTTGCCAGATTCTGCGTCACATGTGGTTGACTCTTCCAAGCACCAAGGATACTTTTTCAAGTTTCAGAGTATATGGATTGTGACTAGCGCTTCTCTTTCTATCTGGAGCTTGTCAGTTGCATATACTTTGATCACAGTATTGACTGAGATTTGTACCCTGTATTTATCACTGTTAGCCAACGCATTATCCGCTGAGGTACAGAGTCTAAACAGGCATTAACATATTCAATCGGTATAATATCTATTTGCTAGGATTCGTATTAACATGTTGTTGTTTTTGCGACCAAATTTTGACCAGTCTTTGTTGGAATATATACTTCTTGAGCGGATCTGTTTGATATGTTTATTTTGTAACGAGTTTCAGAATGTATGTCATGTTTTCTTTTTAAGTGAATGTATACCTTTTAGAACCGAAAAAGGACTTTTTTCATTTGACATTAGAATCACATCACGGCACGTTGGTTTATTTGTTCTTCCTATACAATAAATAAAAACCGATCAACTCCGTTGTAGTTGACTAAGATACGTTGTAGGGAAGTTATTAGTAAATCAGGTCATATTTATGAATGCGTACAAGTATGACCAGATATATACTCATTCACGTTCAGGATCAAAACAAATTAGAGTAAATTTTCAAATCGATCATTCAAGCGGTTGTATACTAATAATGGTAATGGTTCTTGTTTTAATCAAGTGACAATGTAGAAAGCATTTGTGTATTTTCTTTTTAAACAGGGAATTCATTATACTATAGGTGACAAAATAAAAATAGATGAACCTGTATAATGAACGAGTTTATATATGAGTAGACAGACAATTTTTCATCCCTTATGAATTTTGTTTCTCTCTTATTCACGTAAAAAGAAAAAAAAATTATTCACACTAATAAAAAATGATTTCATATACACGTGTATGTCTACATAAATAGGTGAAACATTATGCAACCAATCGGTATAATATACCTTCAAATTCATTATATTCCATTTCTTTCTGTAGTAATTAGTTTTAATCCATGTGTTGACACATCATTAATACTATCTTCTTCCTCATAATGTTATACCCTAACAATGTTTATAAATCTTTACAATCTACTATTCTCAATACTAACGAGAATGATGATGACGATGACAACAGTAAATTTCATCATAAATCAGTAGAAAAATTAGTATATGTAGATAGTAATAATAATCATAATAACGATAAATGTAAAGCTTTGTGGAATTCTAATCATTGTGAGAATCATGTAATATTTTACAGTAAAAATACTAGTCAACATAAATTCTTCAATAATATTTCTCATCTACAGAATCAATCTAATACTGAATCATTAAATTCATTATCACTTAGTTATATAGTTCCATTATTTTCTTCACATATTGTTTATGATAATCACACTAATCTTGTTGACAATGTTCATGGTACTGCTGTTGTTGCTACTACCTATACTACTAATATCATTACTAATTATTCTGGTAATCACTCCTATTCTAATTCTCCTTTTAATTTTGTAGCTGTTCGTGAAGATAGAATGAGAGGTGGACGTAGTCGACGTGGACGTTCATCCTACTGTGTTGTAACAACACCGAATTCCAGCAATAGTAATAATAACAATAATGATTCTAAAATGGATAATATAAAATGTTTACTTTCATCTAACTCTGTGATGTATTCAAAATCTGTTGACAGTGAGCTATACAGTAGTATTACTCCTCCTCCACTTTCTCATACTTCTACTATCCATGTTAACAATATTCATCCTTCGAACAATGGCATTGACACTTCCAATAATATTACAACATCAGTTCCATATGATAAAGACTACTGTAACAGACGATCACCAATAATTGTCCCATCATTATGCACAGTGAGTAAAACGATATGTGAAGCAAACTTGGTCCCAAGTTCTTTATCCTTAACGAATTCAGTTCCACAAGTTACAACAACATGTACTACAACAGTGACAGTATCACCAAGTCATTCATCTTTGTTGTATGAATCTAACCTATTTAACCCAAACTAGTGAGTTTTTATCATTTAAGTAATGATTCATATAACTGGTTATTTAGTTACTACAATAATAAAGTTTGCATTTTTTTATGAAACGTCTGTAAATAAAGTACACGTTGATCAAGTAGTAGCGTTTATATCGTTCGACGGTGTTGTTCATCATCTTCATAATTTTTTCTTGTCACACTAATGTGGCATGGCAACTTTGGCTACCGTACATTTGACCCAGGCTCTTCGTAGATCATGACTGACTTGATGCTGTTGTGTTCTGTGAAGTAAGTGATTCGATTGCAGAGTTTTCACTGTCTTTTTCGACAACATCAGCGACTAATTCATGCGGAAGGCAATAATGATGTCGTCTAAACTAACAATATAAACCCAGGAATTAGACCATCTAGCTCAGGAAATATAACACTACCTAAATGATCTTGGGCTGAAAATTTACATAATTTCAATCATCGTACACGAATTCGAAACGACTATTTTATTCAATATTTAGTACTTTCAATATATCGTTTAACTTCATTGAAATTATGAACCGATCTAATTTTGAACACCATTAAAAAATGTAAGCACTGGAAGGCCGTTTCATCGTAGTATGGGACTCATATTTGCTAAACGCTCCTACATAAAAACAGGATTATAAAGTGTATGAACGGTACTGGCGAATAAGATTACCTTTAACAGTATTCATGAGTGATTGTGGTGACAGTACTATTTCCTTGATATGATAGTCATATATATATTTGTATGGAGTTTGTAAATATTGTTGAATTTTATTGAAATCACGAACTGATCTCAGTTGGACCACGATTGAGAACCTGAAAACAGTGGACGACTGTTTCGTGCTAATATGGGACTTCTCAATAGTGCACATTCACGACCTCACTACTGAGAATCAAACCTGGGACCTTCGGTCTCGTGCGCGAATACCCAACCTATAGACCACTGACCCGGCATCCATCGATGAAATTTCAACTATCTCCACAACCCCATACTGAAAATATTTCTTAATTTTTGCGTTTAGTTTTATGTTGCACATTATTAGACATTAGTTAACGAGATGCATTTGTAAATTAAGAAAAACCTGCTTCTTTTGGAATTCAGTCAGAATTCTGTTGTAGTTTTTATTTATTTACAACGTGGAAAATCTTGGTATAACAGAACACCAGAAAAATCTTCCAAACAAACTGGAATGATAACATTATAAAGACAAAAGAGAGAAAATTAGTATAATCAATCATTAATAAATCATAGTATTTAGTTAAAGATACGGTTCAATTGAAAGTACAACCGAGACGAATTTCTTTTAGTTAAGAGGCTTATATTTTATGAAGAATGTAGATTAAGATTCTCACTGGCTTTTGTTTTGAGTCTCTTCTGATAATGCCTTAAACTACAGAATTTCATGATATCTTAGATCCTAACCAGAGAGTCTCGATGGACAAATATATGTTGGTCCTATACAGTTACCTTTGACTCCACATCTCTATACTGTAGGTTTACTACGTCTCTCATTTACACTAAGTCCTAGTGTCGGTAGACGGAGTACGCAGCGGTAAAGCCACTTAGATAACGTTCATAAAACATGTTTGAATCTGCCAAAAACTTAAATCTAAGATTCTCAAACAATCATTCGCCAAATTTTAATTCATTTCTAATGTTTTAATGTTTACTCTCTTTACTACTGAAAATATACACCAAACTTAATTTGAAAATTCACTTGAAAAAAGAGTCCCAATTTCTTTTTCATTTCCAATAAACAATTATGTTTTTATAAATTTCATTGTTTAAGTTAATTGCGATATTCCACTCTAGTTTATGGTTTTTCATCTGTTAAGTTATCGATCATTTTCTTTATAATTTATCACCATTAATTATACATTGGAAATGCAACAAACTTATTATGTCATGCCTGAACTTTTCTACTTGCAACATGCATAAAAATTGACTAGATTAATGATTATAAATAAATGAAAAGAGATTTCATGTTCGTTTATATTTACAATTGAATTTCAATTAGCTAATATGACAAAATCATTGTGTAAATTAGATAAAGTACATATGTTAAGCTATTGTATGTATTGTACACATGTAAGCTAACTCCTAACGATATTTATTAGAGTTGTAGCTTTGATTAGAGTGCATTGAAGGAAAACTATGATTAATTCAGTTTTTTATTATACATAATATTTTTCATTTATTAAACAATTATCCTTATAAATGTTTACTTAATCAATAATTTTCTTATTGAAATCATGAATCGATCAATGTTAGACCACCATTGAAAACCTGAAAGCATTGGACATCTGTTTTGTGCTAGTATGGAACTCCTTAGAATTACGGAGTCGTAGATGTGCACTATTTAGAAGTCCCGTACTAGCACATAACAGATCTTCAGTACTTCTAAGTTTCTCAATGGTGGTCTAATATTGGTCAGTTCACGATCTCAAAAAAAGATTCAACAATCTCCACAACATTATACTGATAATAATTGTTTTAAATCGCTAATTATTTCACAGTTTCCGTTTTTTTTTCAATTTTATTTTCCGAAAAAACCTATTTCTGAATTGGATGACTTTCATTTTAAGTTTTATCGGGTGATAGTTTTTCATAGGAATAAAGGTATTGACCTATTTCATTTTATTGTAATACATCATAACTTTGGTGTTAATTTCCCCTAATAATGATAAATGAACGATCATATAGTTGATTAATGGTGTCTTTTTTGCATGTCTAACAAATTCGTAAGAAAAAAAATATTTTTCTCTCTCTTATCTTGTCTTTAGTTATTTTTGTCGAGATATTCAGTAAATGAAAAGTTAATCTAATATTTATGTCATAATATATTAGTTCAAAATTGTTTTATTTCCTTAAATTAATTTTGATGGTCAAATCAAAATGATTGATTCTCATTGATCCGTTTATAATATTATTAACAATATCCCCAGAAAGATTTCATTTTTGAAAGTAAAATTTATGTTACTACTAACTAATTGCTATAATTTCAGTTGATCATTTTATAACTGATTTAATAATTTGTTATAATCAAGGATAATGATGAACTGAGTACAAAAAAATAAATTATGATAAATTCATTGGTATTTCATTAACTTCTCGTTAGTTGCTTACACTTGTTAAATATTAAAAAAAAAAGTCAAAAATATAGTTTAACAATAACGTTGGTCATAAGTTAATATAGACACGTATTGACATAGTGTAACAAAAATTATAATAATCTAATTAAATTTAAAACGATTGAACAAGATATTACAAATGAATATCACATGCAAAATTGAGAAGTCTGAGATATCGATTATAATAGAAACAGTAGATCATGGAGTTTAGATTAAATGATTATATAATTCAAAAATAAGTACCAGTTAGTAATACATAAGTATAATATACGTATTGACTTAAGCTAAGTTGGTTATAAAATGGAAAGATAATATGGTGTCGAATATGAGTTATGTTACTCAGGGCTAAGAGTGACTGACAACTGATTTCATTCGAATACATATTCCATAGCATTTTCTAAATGTTATCGTTCTTGATTTATTGAAATTTCCATCAAGAGACCAAGTTTTAAAATACTCCGTAGTAAGCTAAATGTTTCTGTTTGTCTTCTCGAAAAGCTGTAGTGGATTCAATCACATCGGAATTTCATTGATAATCAATGGGTGATATCATATAAAAATTATGCATTATACGTCTAGTTGACAGAAGTTAAAAATATGAATCATCTAATTTAGATCCAGGAGCTGAAATGTATTGTGCTGTTGTGGTACACCTGTAGGTCCTGATCTCGAACTAGTACGAAGAGAAAATACATATTCATTGCTTCGTCGTCACCTCCATGTATTGATTTGTATGTATGTGAAGCTCATATTTGGTGACATAGTTTACATTAGAATATTAATTCGAAACCATTTTACTTAACTCAATTAGATGGACCAGATGATATTGTGGAAAGCTGCTTGATATGTGTAACTGGCAATTACATTGTTGATAAACCTGAAGTTTGTGCTGATGATATCGTTCAGAAGAACGGTGAAAGCTCCAAGACCAAACCTTAAAACTCAAAGAAAAGAACCTTTTTTTAAATTGTGTTTTTAGATTATTAATCTGACAAAACAGTAAGCAGTCAGGGCGACAAATAAACAATAATTAAATAAGGCTTAATTTTATATCGTATGGCTCTCAATTGTTATAATTCTCAAAAAACATTATGAAGATAAATCCAGCAGTTCAGATGCAAAATTGCTGATAACTGTAGCAATACGAAAACAATATACAAACTAACTCATTCACCATATACTTAGATATGAGCCACACTGTGTGAGGGTTACTGATACTACCCGGTTGCCTTGGCCGAAGAGGGTAAAACGGGGTTCAAACCTGGGACCTAGTGGCCGGATTCCGAACACTTTAAGCCACTGTTCCACTACTGTAACAGTAGTACTAGTAAAATCCGAAAAATTGAAGACAAAATGGTTTTGAACGGTTAATAAAAATATATGCAAAATAATAAAATGTTTTTTTTTCACTCCCTGAACCAAACTATCTATGTTTTTGTGCTTTTGTAATAGCTTTTCTTTCTTATAATCCGAATAGTCCTAGCGTTCATATGTTGAGAGTGTATATCATTGGTCAGCTATTGAACTCTAGAATAATATAGATTCACGAAACACATTATGCAATTCATATTTACTAAACTCTCCTACATAAAAACAGGATTATAAAGTGTATGAACGGTACTGGCGAATAAGATTACCTTTAACAGTATTCATGAGTGATTGTGGTGACAGTACTATTTCCTTGATATGATAGTCATATATATATTTGTATGGAGTTTGTAAATATTGTTGAATTTTATTGAAATCACGAACTGATCTCAGTTGGACCACGATTGAGAACCTGAAAACAGTGGACGACTGTTTCGTGCCAATATGGGACTTCTCAATAGTGCACATTCACGACGTCACTACTGAGAATCAAACCTGCTACCGTTG